AAACAAATTATTTATAATATCCAAAAATCTAAAAATTAATTTAAAAAAAAAAAAACATTGGGAATTTCTAAAAGATTCAGTAATAAAATTAAATAAATAAGAGACAGCTTGTTAAAAATAAAAAAAAGGGATAAGTAAAAATGATGAATTGTTTGGATTATGTCAGATAAGGGGAATCCGAATTTTTTTATCATTAAAAGGTATAGGAATAGATTATTTATTCATAGAAGTAATGGTAATAATAGAAGAATAGCAACAAATAATGTTATAATAAAAGTAATCATAAATAGCTATAAAAATAATAACTACGTTACATGTAGGTTTTAGGGTATATAAAATAGATAATCAAAATTAATCAAAAATTAAAATTATATAAAAAAAAAATTTTAAATAAAAAATAGTTTATTATATATATAAACTTATAAATAAACATTTAAGAAAATAAAAAATGTTATTTTTTTCTTTTTTATTATTTTTTAGTTTTTTAGTTTATGGTTTTGACATAAGGAATAGTATGTATCGGTTATTGTGGGATGCACTTTAGTGTTGCTTTTAAAATTTTTATTGCACAGGGTTTTTAAATATACAGTTTTAGCAACTTCTTTTCTCCCAAAACACATACATTATGTATATCAAAAAATGCAAACCAATTTAATTAATATATATAAAGTATTAAAAATATAAGGTTATAGGTTATTTTTATTGAAAAAACTTTATAAAAAGAATTTATCTTTATCTTTATTTTTATTTTTATGGGTTTGATTGATTAAAAAAATTTTAAATAAAAATAAAATAAAAGCAGCGGCTCTTAAAATAATGAAATCTGGTTGGTCATAGAAAAAACTATCAATTGAACGCACATAACGGATTTACTAAGATCAGAACTTGTGTCAAATTGATTAAGTTTTTTGGAAGCTGCTGTATTGGAACCACTAAATCTCTATTTCTTCTAATGAACCAGTAAATCTTTTCTTCTTCTAAAACCATTCGATGATACCATAGTTGCTTGGCCAGAACAATGTCTGATATTCATCAAATAGTTGATTAAAATGAAAAAATTCGTTGGTGTTGATTTAATTAAGAGGTCTTTTCCCTTGATTGGATCTTTACCTCTGTGGATTTTGAACTGATATGATAAATTCTTTTAAGTCTATTCTTTTTTATTATTTGTTATTATATTTATTATTACTATTGACCTATAAAAGAATTATAATTATAATTTTTTTATTTTTTTTTATTTTTTTTATTATTTTTTCTGCCAGTGTTTGGATAATTTATAAATCCGCATATAATACAACGGAATTCTATTAAAAAAAAGTTAGTATGAGTTATAAAATAAAATTTTAAAGAAAATAAAACTTACTACTTGGTGGGAATTCACTTGGCATTTTTCCAATACAATTACCACAATTTTCTAAAAAGAGTAATCTTGTATCGGAAAATAAAATATAATAAATTTTTTTAAACCACCATTTTAAAATAATAAATAAAATGTATGGTTTTTTTTGTTGTTGTTGTTGTTGTTGTTGTTGTTGTTGTTGTTGTTGTTGTTGTTGTTGTTGTTGTTGTTGTTTTGGTGGGTTTGGTGGATTTGGTGGGTTTGGTGGTGGATTTGGTGGGTTTGGTGGTGGATTTGGTTTTGGTTGTGGGCTTGGTGGGCTTGGTGGGTTTGGTTTTGGTTGTGGGTTTTGCTTTGGTTGTTGTGGGCTTGGTGGATTTGGTTTTGGTTAGAGATTAAAAATTATCTTTATTCTCAGTTTTTACCCATTATCGTTATCTTATTCATTTAAAAATTTTTTTTTAAAGTTATCTCTTTTTTTAAAAAAAATTATCTCTTTTTTTAAAAAAAATTATTCATTTTTATCGATTTTTAAAATTTGCAAAAAGATGTAAAATAACAGCACAAACACACCCATCACAATTTTTCTCTTTTCCGCCTTTCTTTTAATTTTTTTTTAAACATTTTATTATTTTTTTTTTTAGTTTTTTTTAATTATAATCCGCGCTTTTTTAAAAAAATTTTTTTTTTGATTTTTAAATTTTGAATTTTATTAATTATAATATTTTTATTTTCCTTTCAAAAACCTTCACAAAACCATATTGATACTAACACTAATATTATGGTGCTATTTTTCACTTGTGTTGATGCTTATATTCACACCTCTTTAATAATAAAATGACAATATTATATTTTGTGTATTGGTTGAGGTTTTTATTAATAAAAAAGAAAATAATATTAAAAACGAAAAAATAAAAACAACAATGATGGTGTTATAATGTTTTTCATGAACCCTATTATTTTTTTTAAAAAAAACATATTATTCTACACATTTTCTAAATTAGCTATATAAATATACCCAAAAAATAACTAGAATGCATCAACACTAGGTTTTACAATGCTTTTTAATCTTTCGTTTTTCTTTTTTTTTTTAAAAGCAAAGTTTTTTTTTTTTTTTTTTTCATTCAAGTTAATAAATATAAAATAATTTCTTAAACCTTCTAATGTTACCCATAAAAGACTCTACCATTGAAAGTAAAGTTTTTGTAAAAAAAAAAAAAAAAATTGTTAAAATAAAATTGAAATATTTTATAATTTTATAAATTATTATCCTTTTTTTATCTTTTTTTTTTTTTTTTTTATCCACTTTTATCCTTTTTTTTTTAAATCTTCCAAGTGATACAAAAAGGATAACGATAAAGATAATTTTCAACCTCTAGTTTTGGTCCTGGGTTTGGTTGTGATGGTTGCGGTGGTTGTGGTGTTTGTGGTGGTTGTGGTGGTTGTTGTTGTTGATACTCTTCTTGGTATCTGTTATTGGAATCTAAAAAAATAGTTAGACACTGCATTATACAGATATAATTTTTAAATGAATACCTACTTTTTTTAAAAAATTCATAGTCCTCGAGAAGCTTTTTGGTCTTGTCGTAATCTGTTTCCATTTTCCTTGCTTCAAATAATTTATCAAGACCATCATATAATTTTAATAATTTTATTTCATTATTTTTAATTAATCTTTCAAATAATAATCTGTAAAATTTAGCTAATGAGTAGATTCTAAAATTATAATATAAATGTTAATATCTATTATAAATAAAAATTAAGATACATATTAATTAAAAACTTACATCATTGAAGCAAATAATGAATATAAAAAACACATTGCCTTTTCAGACAAAGTGTCGGATGAAGCTAACTTTTCGTATAAAAAAGCTGCTAAATATAATTCAATAATAAAATAATAAAAAATAATTTTATTATAATTATTATAATGACGAAGCTTTGAGTTATTAATATCGGTCTCCATTTTACTAATTTTGGATTCCATAACTTGGACTTTTTTTTCAAAAATGCAATGCTATATAACAATAAAGCTATAATTAGTATATATTTTGTTTATAATGCATGTTATATAAGAGATAATTACCTTTTTTGAAATAAAATTACCCATTTTTTTTATTTACTTTTTCTAAAGGGTAAATTAAAATATAAAATAATATGTATATATATAATTATTAACAAAAAAATATAATATAATGATTTAAAAAACACTGAAAGGAGCAATAAATAAATAAATAAATTTAATGAAAATAAATTCGAAAAAAGTTTTTATAGAGTTTAAATTTTTTTTGAAAATGAAATAAATAAAAAAAATTTAATTAATTTTAATTATAATTTCCTTTTGTTAATATAATAGATTAGATCCAAACTCGGTATTCCCTTTTTTGTACATTCTATTAAATTTTTAATCTGTAGCTATCATAAAAGTAGTGATCATGTGTTTTTTTTTAAACACATCACCCAAATAAAAAAATAATTTAATTAAAAAAATTAAAAAAAAAATTAAAAAAAATTAAATTATAACCCCACCATACACTTTTTTTATTATTATTATAAAAAGTGGCTAATATGTTTGGGAAATGAATTAATAGATTTTTATTTTTTACAATTAAATAAAAATGAAAATTACCAATTTTAGAAGCCATTGCAATCTGAATTATTAAAAAAAAAAATGATGATGCTTACTGTTTAATTTAAACAAAAAAAAATTTTAATAGTATTTTATATTTTTTTTAATAAAAAAAAAAAATTAATAATTATACGAAAAAAATTTGATTAAAAAAAAAATTAAATATTATTTATTTGATTATTTATTTATTTTAAATAAATAACTTTAAAGTCATTGAGTTGAGAAATTTCTTTTTATTTTTTTTTTATAATTTAATTTTTATTTATTGAATAAAAAAAATTGTATATTTCATAAAACATTTGATGTGCTGAACTATAGTTTTATATGATTTTAAACCATCGTTATTATTTCTATTTGTATTATTATTATTGGTGTTATTGTTCTCTATATCATTTTTTTTCTTTTATTACAATCCATGATTAAAATTAATAAATAAAAATAAAAAAAAAAAAATATAAATTTTTTTTTTTTTGATATGAATTTTTAAGTTGTTATTGAATTTCATTTATACCAAGATTAGAAGGAAATAAAAAAGAAAAGATTTTAATTCAAAAAAATGTTCATTCAAATGTTTGTCAGTCAATACAAAGTTAGGGTATAATTAATGAAGGCGATAAAATTATGGTTGGTGGTAAAGATAGTTTAACTTTAATTAATATAAAGAGAAAATCAAAAGACATTTTTGATCCACAAAGTCCAGATTAAGATCCAAGTTCATTAAAGAAATATTTCGCATCTATTAGTGTACCATATTTTTATGTTAGTCAATCGATTATGGAAACTGCAAAGTGTATTATGAAAGAAGGTAACAAAGAAAGTATTTGCGCTTTTTGTTGTAGAATTTGACGTTGTATTCTATACAAAACTTGTAGAAAGGAGGTTATAATGTTTTAGCTTTGTTTCAAAATCTTTATGAATCATTTTTAATGAGAGCTCTCTATAATGGTTTACTTAGTACAAAGAAGGTAAATTATCAGACCATTATGTAATATCAGCGAAAATCAAACAAGACATTACGTAAAGGTAATGGGATTGCCAGTAATAGAATGATAACTGCCCTGCATGCTTCCAAGCTCCAATTCAACGTTCAAGAATTAAACTATAATTAGACAAAAAGGAAAATTTAAATCCAAATGTTCATCATATTTAAAACTTGCAACCCTTATTCTCAGTTTCCAAAACAAATAGAGTTTAAAAAAGAAGTATTGATGACTATAGTAGTGGTTTAATTGTTGATAAAGATGGTTTAAATAATAATATCTCAGATGATTAAAATGTATATTTAAAAAAAAAAAAAAAGAAAAACAATAAAAAGTTATTTAATAACAATTTATTTATTAAATTGTATTATATTATAAAGAATTCTTTTATTTTATTTAAAATTTAGGTAAAATATAATAAATAGTTTTATTTTTATTATTACCTTTTTTAATTTATAAAGAGTATTATTAAAAAAAATAATAAAAATATAATTTTTTTTTTTTTTTTTAATAATAAAATAAGATCCATAACATCTTGACCATCTTGACAACTGGAATGGCTTTTATCTGATTTTGGAATTTGATAATATTCTATAAGTGAACTCATTGAATAACCACCTTCTAATTTTTTGACAAATCTTTACTGGTGATTTTTTTTGAGTATTTTCTGTTATGATGAGGTCAGTTTGGGTTACGATGTCCTCCATTTCGTCCAATTTAAAAATTGGAATTGAATCAATAAACACTATTAAAGGAAACATGGATGGAACAGAAGCAGCATTTTTACCAATTTGACTTGCTAAAATTCCTCTATCAAACTTTTCATTATGAGCAATGATGTAAGCACCTGATTCTTGATATTTTGAAAGATATTCAATAAGCGATGGTTCAATATTCATTACCCGGGTAAACTTTTATTTGTATGACCATGGATTGATGCAGAAGTACTTGAAACGGTTGCTGTTGGATTGATGAGTTTATAAAAGTGGCTACCATCATATAAATCGATAATTGAAACTTCAATGATTTCATCAGTTGCTACTGAGAGGCCTGTAGTTTCAGTATCTAAAAATAATATTGCTGGAGAACTTAATTGTGGTAAATCAAAAACAATTACTCAAGAAATAGTTAATAAATGGAGAGAAAACTTTTTGATTTAACATTTAATTTAAGAAAATCATTCGCAATACCCAGAGCTTTAACCAATTCTACTTTTTGTTCTTCAGTTGGAACAATCAAGGTGTGATCTAAACCAATGTGCTTGATAAAAGTTTTCTCCCCATTTATTAATTATTTCTTAAGTAATTGTTTTTGATTTACCACAATTTTCTGTTGGACGAATACTTGTTGACAACCTGCATGGGTACATATATTAAAGAAAGTATCACTGGCATGTGGTTCTGAACGATAACAAGAGCTTTGACTTCTGAAATAAATTGGAATCTTCAATGGAGTTTTTGGATTGATATCTTCATTTTCATCAAGTACCAGTTCCTTTGAATAAAGTTTTAGTTATCTTGTAATACCTTGACACCCATGTTTCTTTTCTTATCCAAATTCTTATGAATAATTAGGAATAAAATCTCTAAAGTAGTTCCAAGCACCAAGAAGTTTTGATAATTCCGTCGTATTGGTTGGTGGTGGCATTTCTTTAAATCTTTTAAACCTTAATACATCATAAGAGAGACCATTGAATGAAACTAGAAGAACCTTACTAACAAAAGACTCTTAAAGCTTTACAATATTTATTAATGAAACTATGATTATTTTTTAAAAATTCAATTATAAATATATATAAAGGAAATTCAATAAAAAATACAAGGGTTGTCTGTAATGAATTTATCTGGACGTTTTGCAAAAAAAAAATTTGTTAAAAAAAAAAAAATTTAATTGTAAAAAAAAATTAAAAAAAAAAAATAAAATTAAAAATATTTTATATGTAAAAAATAAATTTTTTTTTTTTTTACCAAATTTTTTTTTACATATAAATTTTTTTTTACATATAAAATATTTTTAATTTTATTTTTTTTTTTTAATTTTTTTTTAGTTTTTTTGGCTCCAGACACCCCTTGAAAAAATAAAAAAATAAAAAATTAAAAAAAAATTAAAAAAAATTAAAATAAAAAAAAAAAAAAAAAAATAAAACCACACACAATGAAGTTAATACTTTTATTATAATATTATTATAAAATATGATATATTTCAATTTTTAAAATAAAAAAAATAAAAAAATTTATTAAAAAACACATAGCATTGTCCAAATTATATTTATTTAAAAATAAAATCAAAAAATAATAGTGGTGGTAATAGTAATAGTGGTACTACAGGAGAAACAGCGCTAATAGACTTTACAATAAAAAGTTTTTCACCATAACAAAATAATTTATTTATTTAGAAAAAAATTAAATGTATTTTTTTACAATTTATTTAAACTTTTTAAGATTGTTTAAAAATACTTGTGTATTTAGATAAAAATCTGAGGTCACTGATAAAACCGCTGGCCAATTTGAGTTTAAAAAAATGCTCATCGTTTATTATTGAAAGACCAGTTTCATCGTTTTTCTCGTAATATAAATACTCGTGTTCGGTTGAAATGGTTTTGAAAATTGAAACTAAACCAATCTCTGCTGCTCTTTTTAATATTTCGTTAAAAACTCCACTTTGCAAATCTGATTTTGATATATAGTAAAGTAATTTTAAAAATAAATTGACTTTATTATTATTAGAATAAAGAAACTTTAATGAATGTTCCATTAACTGTGAATTTGAATTTAAGTTTTGATATAAAATATTTGGACGACCACAGTAGAATAAAAGCAGTTCCCAACTAGTAAAGCGTTTGATTCTAATTTCATACTTTTGATTATTTGTTGTATTTATACCTGATTTAATTGTTAACTCTTCATTTGATATGTTTGATTGAATATATTGGTCTGAAAGGTCTTGAAGAATCCAGTATATGAATTTATGGGAGTTACGGAATTCTGCTTTTTTTAAAATTGGTTCGATATCAAAGTATTCTGTGCCACCATATTTTTCTATATGCTTTTCTAACATTGATATTGCGGAATCCTGTGTAGAATAATCAAGATTTTCCAAAATATACGATTTATATCTATTAATAGAGTTTGTAGGATAATCTTTATTGCTTTCAAATGTATAAAGTGTTGGATTGTTGAGTGCTCTTTCTAATCTTTCGAAAACATCTTTATTTGGTAAATTTTCGGAGTTTCTTGCATTCAATTTAATAAAAAACTTTCTTGAAATACTCTTCATTAACTCTTCGAAATGGCCCATAACTTTTTTGTCGGCGTACATACAAAGTGGATTATTGTCACTAAATATTAATTCTTGATGATTATTGAAAAAGTAGTCTAATATCTCGGTTTTTGTAATTAATTGAAGATAATGATATAAATGACAGCATGTGTCTCCGAAATACTTGAACATAAGATCGATTAGTTCTAAATTATTGCTTGAAAAAATGGCATTTTCAATATAAATCCTCTTTCTTTGACAATCTGTGTGTAGTGATGCTGATTTAACTAGCTTTTTTTGATATTCAATGCAACGGTCGCTATTTATAACTGTGAATAGATATCTATAGTGTTGGTATTCAGGTTTTTTTATGTTCTTTATTATTAAATTTCTATTTGTAAAAACTTGTTCGAATCTAGACTTTTTTTTAAAGAATATATAGTATTCAATTGGTTTAAATAGATTTGAATATTTGAATTCTAATTTATAAATTGAATATAGTACTTTGAGTATGTTGTGGATTATTGGTTTTAAATATTGATCATTTGATATTGATATGGTATGAATAGTTGATTTTAATTGTATAGTATTAAATTGATTTATTTCTAATTGGTGATTTAGTTGTTGTACTGTATCGTTGTGTTTTTCTTTTGGTCTGTAGTTTTCAGCGATAATAAACTTGTAAATTTTTATGAGCTCTTTGAATTTTTGTGAATATTCAAAAAATCCAATAATATCATATATTGATATCGATTCAGTAACTGTGACTCCGTTTGATTCTAAAAAAGGCTTCATCTTTAAAAGCTTTAAGTTCTTTTTGCCAATACCGATCTTTTTATTTAAATTTACTGAAATATTTCTTTTATCTATTTGAAAAAGTTTATTGTATTCGAGAAATGCGGTTCTATTGTTTCCATCTGCAATTACTTGTAACCAGAAGGAATAGTTTCTGAAACTATGGTTATCATCATTTGTGTTGTTGTATTGATTTGCAGAAAATAGTTGTCTATAGAATTCTCTGTTCTCTTTGGTATCTTTGGTGATTTTGGAAATGACTAATCTTACTTCGTTATAATCTTCAAATTCATAATTTCCACTTTTTACTTTATCTCTAATAATAGCATGTCCATTACTAAAACGTTCAAAAAATATAATATGAAATAATTAAATCATCATAGTTGAATAACTCTTTGAATTTGAAATTTGAAAATATTAATTTGAATAAAATTTTATTTCTAAATACCTTCCAGAATACAGTTTCACAGCTATTAGTATCTTTATTTGATGTAAAAACCAAACTCGGTGTATTTGATGATGTATTATTATAATCAAATTCTGAACTATCAGTACTTTTATGTTTTTTATATGATCTTAAACTATCGTTATTATTGTTATTGTTATTAGTATTATTATTACTGGTGTTATTGTTCTCTGTATCATTTTTTTTTCTTTTATTACAATCCATGATTAAATATTGAATAAAAAAACCCGCGTATAATAATTTTAAAAAAATAAAAAAAAAAAATAAAAAAAACTTTTGAAAAAAATTTAAAAAAAGTGCGGAAAAGAAATAAATTATATTATAAAATATTTGTACGACCACAATAGAATAAAAGAACTTCCCAACTAGCAAAGTCTGCATTACTAAAGCTGTTAAAAATCTAAAAATTTCCAGAATGCATCTTCAACTTTCTTATCATCTTTATTCGATGTAAAAACCAAGCTCGGTGTATTCGATGATGTATTATTATAATCAAAGTCTAAACTATAAGTACTTTTATGTTTTTTATATGGTCTTAAACTATTATTATTGGTTTTATTTTTTGTTATCATTTTTTTTTCCTATGGTGTGTGGGATTAAAAAAATAAAAATATCAAAAATAAATAATATTAAATTTTTAAAAAAATCAAAAAAAAGATAATTTTTAAATTAAATATTAATTAAAAAAAAATTGAACAATAAATACAAATTCCATTGGTTGATTATTAAATAAAATAAAAAACAATCACCAAAAAAAAAAAATTTATTTAGAAAAAAATTAAATGTATTTGTTTACAATTTATTTAAACTTTTTAAGGTTGTTTAAAAATATTTGTGTATTTAGATAAAAATCTGAGGTCACCGACAAAACCACTGGCGGCCAATTTGAGTCTATAAAAATGCTCATTGTTTATTATTGAAAGACCAGTTACATTGCTTTTCTCGTAATATAAATACTCGTATTTGGTTGAAATGGTTTTGAAAATTGAAACTAAACCTTTATTGGCTGCTCTTTCTAATAATTTGTTAAAAATTACATTTTGAAAATCTGATTTTGAAAAATAGTCGAGTAAATTTAAAAATAAATTGACTTTAAGTATGTAATTAAAAAAAAGAAACTGTAATGAATGATCCACTAGCTGTGAATTTAAATTTAAATTTTGATATAAAATATTTGGACGACCACAATAGAATAAAAGCAGTTCCCAATTAGTAAAGCGTTTGATTTTAATTTCATACTTTTGATTATTTGTTGTATTTATACCTGATTTAATTGTTAACTCTTCATTTGATATGTTTGATTCAATGTATTGATCTGAAAGGTCTTGAAAGATCCAGTATATGAATTTATGGGAGTAATGGAATTCTGCTTTTTTTAAAATTGGTTCGATATCAAAGTATTCTGAAATGCCATATTTTTCTATATGCTTTTCTAACATTGATATTGCGGAATCCTGTGTAGGATAATCAAAATGTTCCAAAAAATACGATTTATATCTATTAATAGAGTTTGTGGGATATTTTTTATTGCTTCCAAATGTATAAAGTGTTGGATTGTTGAGTGCTCTTTCTAATCTTTCGAAAACATCTATATTTGGTGGATATCCCATGTCTCTTGGGTTCAATCTAATTAAAAACTTTCTTGAAATACTCTTTATTAATTCTTCGAAATGGCCTATAACCTTGTTGTCGATGTACATCCAAAGTCGACTATTGTCACCAAACATTAATTCTTGATGATTATTGAAAAAGTAGTCTAATACCTCGGTTTTTTTAATCATAGTTTGATAGCCATAGGAATAACATGAGTTTCCGAAATGCTTGAACATAAGATCGATTAGTTCTAAATTATTGCTTGAAAAAATGGCCTCTTCAAAATAAACCCTTTTGAAATCACCTGATTTAATTAGGTTTTTTTGATATTCAATGCAACGGTCGCTATTTATAACTGTGAATAGATCTTTATAGTGTAGGTATTTAGTGTCTTTTGTTGAGTTTTTATCCATTTTTCTATTTGTAAAAACTTGTTCGAATCTAGACTTTTCTTTAAAGAATATATAGTATTCAATTGGTTTAAATAGATTTGATTCATTGAATTTTAATTTATAAATTGAATATAGTACTTTGAGTATGTTGTGGATTATTGGTTTTAAATATTGATCATTTGATTGCGATATTTTCTCAATAGTTGATTTTAATTGTATAGTATTAAATTGATTTATTTCTAATTGGTGATTTAGTTGTTGTACTATATCGTTGTGTTTTTCTTTTGGTCTGTAGTTTTCAGCGATAATAAACTTGTAAATTTTTATGAGCTCTTTGAATTTTTGTGAATATTCAAAATATCCAATAATATCATATATTGATAACGATTCAGTAACTGTGACTCCGTTTGATTCTAAAAAAGGTTCCATCTTTAAAAGCTTTAAGTTCTTATTGCCAATACCGATACTTTTAATTAATTTTACTGAAATATTTCTTTTATCTATTTGAAAAAGTTTATTGTATTCGAGAAATGCGGTTCTATTGCTTTCATTTGCAAATAATTGTACCCAGAATGAATAGTTTCTTAAACTATGGTTATCATCATATGCGTTGTGGTATTGTTTTGATGAAAATAGTTGTCTATAGAATTCTCTGTTCTCTTTGGTATCTTTGGTGATTTTGGAAATGATCAATTCTACATCTCTATAATCTTCAAATTCATAATTTCCACTTTTAAATTTATCTCTAATAATAGCATCTCCATTACTAAAATTTTTAAAAATATAACGTGAACCAATTAAATCATCATAGTTGAATAACTCTTTGAATTTGAAATTTGAAAATATTAATTTGAATAAAATTTTATTTCTAAATATCTTCCAGAATGCAGTTTCACCGCTATTAGTATCTTTATTTGATGTAAAAACCAAACTCGGTGCATTCGATGATGTATTATTACAATCAAATTCTGAACTATCAGTACTTTTATGTTTTTTATATGATTCTAATATTAAGCTACTATTATTATTATTATTGTTATTAATATTATTATTACTGGTGTTATTGTTCTCTGTATCATTTTTTTTTCTTTTATTACAATCCATGATTAAATTTTAAAAAAAATAAAAAAAATTTGATTTTTAAAAATAAAAATAAAAAAAAATAATTAAAAAAAATCAAAAAATAAGTGTAAAAATTTAAAAAAATGTGGTGTGTAATAATGAAAAATTTTTTTATTGCTATAATAATAAAATAATAATACAGTATTTTTTTTTGGTTTTAATTTTTTTTGTTTTATTTAAAAATTTAAATTTTATTTTTTTTAATTATTTTCTTGTTTTACTTTAATTCTATTTTTTTTTTTTTTTTTTGTTTTTTTTTTCATATTTTTTTTTTTTTTTTTTCATTCTCTTAAAATCCTTTATCATATAAAGACAAAATTTGGTAAATATTTAAAATATACTGATTTTTTTTAATATTATAATTATAGTGTATAGGTTTGCTATTTGGTTTCCAATGAAAATATAGTATTTTAGATGCCGATTAAAGAAAAAAAAAAAAAAGGTTTGAAGAGAATTATAAAAGATTTATTCTCCATTGGTTTAGGGAAGAAGGTTTCGTCCTTCATACGGTTTTAATTTAACCATATAATATTATATTTTATTTTATTTTATTATGTAAATTTGAACAAGTATTAATTTCTTAAAACACTTGTGTTCAGGTCGTTTGAAGCATTAGTTTGCTGTGATCAGTTAAGATAGGATACTTTGGAGATACAGACATGTGTCTCATACCTAATCGAGGTAACAGCTGACTATCCCTTATCTACTTTCTTTAATGAAGGCTTTGGTTTTTTTAATTAAAAACAAAGTGTAGATTTGCTAATTAGAATACCGTAATTCCAGAACATTACTTTTTTTTTTAAATTTTTCTTTTTTATTTTTGTCTCTCGCTTGTTGCCATTATCTTTGTTCTTCTTGGTTGCTGCCATTGTCTCCAAACGCTCTTCAAAAATTTATTTACAATAATGGAGGGCTTTCAACCGTATTAAAGTATAGATATACCAAAGTGCTGGTTGATAGTCATTTATATAAATAAAGTTATATTTCTCCCATTTATACATAATATTATTTTCACCTATTTTAAAAAAAAAAAATTTTATTTATTTATTTAAAAATTAAATGTATTTGTTTACAATTTATTTAAACTTTTTAAGATTGTTTAAAAATACTTGTGTATTTAGATAAAAATCTGAGGTCACTGTTAAAACCTTTTGTTTTGAGTTCATAAAAAATTTTATTGTTTATTATTGAAAGACCACTTATATCGCTTTTTTCATAATATAAATACTCGTATTTGGTTGAAATGGTTTTGAAAATTGAAACTAAACCAATCCTTGCTGCTTTTTTTAATAATTTGCTAAAAAATTCACCTTGCAAATCTGATTTTGATATATAGTCAAGTAAATTTAAAAATAAATTGACTCTAATAATTCTATTAAAAAAAAGAAACTTTAATGAATTTTCCATTAACTGTGAATTTGAATTTAAGTTTTGATATAAAATATTTGGACGACCACAGTAGAATAAAAGCAGTTCCCAACTAGTAAAGCGTTTGATTTTAATTTCATACTTTTGATTATTTGTTGTATTTATACCTGATTTAATTGTTAACTCTTCATTTGATATGTTTGATTCAATATATTGGTCTGAAAGGTCTTGAAAGATCCAGTGTATGAATTTATGGCAGTTACGGAATCCTGCTGTGTTTAAAATTGGTTCGATATCAAAGTATTCTGAAATGCCATATTTTTCTATATGCTTTTCTAACATTGATATTGCGGAATCCTGTTTATAATAATTCATATGTTCCAAAAAATACGATTTATATCTATTAATAGAGTTTGTGGGATAATCTTTATTGCTTTCAAATGTATAAAGTGTTGGATTGTTGAGTGCTCTTTCTAATCTTTCGAAAATATCTTTAATTGGATATCCCACGTATTCTGGGTTCAATTTAATAAAAAAGTTTCTTGAAACACTCTTCATTAACTCTTCGAAATGGTCTATAACTTTGTTGTCGACGAAAATCCAAAGTAGACTATTGACCCTAAACATTAATCTTTGATGATTATTGAAAAAGTAGTCTAATATCTCGGTTTTTGTAATATATGGTTGATAATCACAAAAAAAACATGAGTTTCCGAAATGCTTGAACATAAGATCGATTAGTTCTAAATTATTGCTTGAAAAAATGGCATTTTCAATACAAAACCTTTCGGAAATAGATATGTATGGTGATACTGATTTAACTAGGTCTTTTTGATATTCAATGCAACTGTCACTATTTATAACTGTGAATAGATAATTATAGTACTTGGATTTAGTTTTTGTTGGGTTTTTATACGTAAAAACTTGTTCGAATCTAGCCTTTTCTTTAAAGAATATATAGTATTCAATTGGTTTAAATAGATTTAAATCTTGGAATTTTAATTTATAAATTGAATATAGTACTTTGAGTATGTTGTGGATTATTGGTTTTAAATATTGATCATTTGATTGCGATATTTTCTCAATAGTTGATTCTAATTGTATAGTATTAAATTGATTTATTTCTAATTGGTGATTTAGTTGTTGTACTGTATCGTTGTATTTTTCTTTTGGTCTGTAGTTTTCAGCGATAATAAACTTGTAAATTTTTATGAGCTCTTTGAATTGTTGTGAATATTCAAAACATCCAATAATATCATATACTGATAACGATTCAGTAACTGTAAATCCGTTTGATTCTAAAAAAGGTTTCATCTTTAAAAGCTTTAAGTTCTTTTTGCTAATACCGATCTTTTTAATTAATTTTACTGAAATATTTTTTTTATCTACTTGAAAAAGTTTATTGTATTCGAGAAATGCGGTTCTATTGCTTTCATTTGCAAATAATTGTATCCAGAATGAATAGTTGCTGAAACTATGGTTATCACCATTATATGTGTTGTGGTATTGTTTTGATGAAAATAGTTGTCTATAGAATTCTCTGTTCTCTTTGGTATCTTTGGTGATTCTGGAAATGATCAATATTGCATCAAGAAAATCTTTACATTCATAATTTCCACTTTTTACTTTATCTCTAATAATAGCATCTCCATTACTAAAACCTCTAAAAATATAACGTGAACCAATTAAATCACCATAGCTGAATAACTCTTTGAATTTGAAATTTGAAAATATTAATTTGAATAAAAATTTATTTCTAAATACCTTCCAGAATGCATCTTCACCGCTATTAGTATCTTTATTCGATGTAAAAACCAAACTAGATGTATTCGATGATGTATTATTATTACTATTATTATTTGTTTCTAATCTTTTTCTTTTTTTATTATCACTCATTTTTTAAATTTTGTTTTAAAAAAAATAAATAAAAAATTAAAAAAAAAATTAAAAATATTTTATTTTTTTTTTGATTTAAAAATTTTTAATAAAAATAAAAATTTTAAAATTTCCCACAAGAAAGTTTGTTATGGTAATTATGTTAATTCCTATTATTAGGTGTTTGATCATATTAATTGAAATTAATGATCATTAATTTTTAAAATTATATCCATCACTTCAACATTTAATATTGGTCCGTTGCGAAAATATATTAATCCAAAACCTATCGTCACAATCAAAACTTTCAATTTATTTAGATTATCAATATACTTAAAGTGCATAAAAATTTAAAAAACAATTCAAATAATTATCTTTGATTGATATCTATTTTAATTATTCAAACATTATTATAATACCTAGAAAGATATATTTAGTAATTTAATCAAAAAAATAAATAAAAACCCATAATTATAATAATAACAATTCCAAAATTATAATTAAAATTTTATTTTGGTAATTAATTTTAAAATTTTCATGAATAAATTTTATTTTTAACCCCAAAAAAAAAAAATTAAAAAATAATTAAAAAAAAAAAAAAATTAAAAAAAAAAAACGAAAATTTTTTTTTTTTTTTATTTTATTTATATTATTTTTATTTGTTTATAAAGATATAATAAATAATATTATTTGTTTTGTTTTTTAATAAAAAGTGTGTGTGTATCATATTTTATAAAAAAATTATAAAATAAATTCCTAAAAATAATTAAAATAAATTATTAAATAAATAATATTTAAACACACCCTTTAAAATAATAAACAACTAAATATCATCATATATAATATAAGTTTTGTAAATAAAAAATAAATAAACATATTATAATAAATAAAATAAAATAAAAAATAGATAAATATAATGAGTAAAAGAAAAAACGATTCAGGTGATACCAATAAAAAAGCAATGAAAAAACAAGAATTAGAAACTACAGAAATATCAACAAATAGCAGTACTACAGATAATAAAGCTAATTTAAATATAAACGATTGGATTCCAAAAAAAGAAACCTATTCAAAGAGATATTATGAAATTTTAGAAAAAAGAAAAGAGTTACCAGTATGGAAGCAAAAAGAAGATTTTATAAATATGGTTAAAAAGAATCAAGTTGTAGTATTAGTTGGTGAAACTGGTTCTGGTAAAACCACTCAAATTCCACAATTTGTTGTCGATGCAGGATTAATATCGCCAGGTAAAATGGTTGGTGTAACACAACCAAGAAGAGTTGCAGCAATTAGTGTAGCAAAAAGAGTATCAGAAGAAATGGATTTCGAATTAGGTCAAGAAGTTGGTTATTCAATTCGTTTCGAAGAGTTATCGTCACCAAAAACATTTATGAAATATCTTACTGATGGTATGTTACTCCGTGAATCTATGGGTGATCCAACTTTATCAAGATACGATGTTATCATTTTGGATGAAGCTCACGAACGTACACTTAGTACCGATATTTTATTTGGTTTAATTAAAGATATTTTAAAGAGACGTAAGGACCTCAAACTCATTGTTATGTCTGCTACATTGGAAGCTGGTAAATTTCAAAAATATTTCGAAGGTGCTCCATTAATCAAGGTACCAGGTCGTTTACATCCAGTAGAGATTTTTTATACAGAAAAAGCAGAAAGAGACTATTTAGAAGCAGCAATTAGAACTGTTGTCGAAATTCACAAACACGAAGACGAAGGTGATATTTTAGTGTTTTTAACTGGTGAGGAAGAAATTGAAGATACTTGCGCAAAAATTCAAAGAGAGGTACGTGAGGGACGTTTAGCACCACTCAAGTGTTTACCATTATACTCCACTTTACCAATTTATCAACAAAGTAAAATTTTCGATTCAGTCAAGGAACGTAAATGTATCGTTTCAACCAATATTGCCGAAACCTCTCTTACAATCGATGGTATCGTTTATGTAGTAGATCCAGGTTTTTCAAAACAAAAAACATATAATCCACGTTCACGTGTTGAGTCACTTTTAGTTGCACCAATTTCTAAAGCCTCAGCTAATCAAAGAGCTGGTCGTGCTGGTCGTACACGTCCAGGTAAATGTTTCCGTCTTTATACCGAAAAAGCATTCCAAGAAGATTTAATTCAACAAACCTACCCAGAAATTCTTCGTTCTAATTTAGCCTCTGTAGTATTACAACTCTTAAAATTAGGTGTTACTGATTTAGTACATTTCGATTTCATGGATCCACCAGTACCAGATACATTAATTCGTGCACTTGAAGTTCTTCATTTCTTGGGCGCATTAGATGACGAAGGCCAATTAACTAAAGTTGGTACCATTATGGCAGAGTTCCCATTAGATCCACAACTCAGTAAAATGTTAATTGAAAGTAGCGAACGTAGTTGCTCCAACGAAATTTTAACTATATCCGCAATGTTATCTGCACCAAATGTTTTTATGCGTCCAAAAGATAATAGATTAGAGGCTGATGCTTCTAAAAAGAACTTTGATCATTTCGATGGTGATCATCTTACTCTTCTCAATGTTTATCATGCCTTCAAAAAGAATGGTGAAGATCCAACCTGGTGTTATGAAAACTTTTTAAATCATCGTGCCCTCAAACAAGCTGATAGTGTTCGTTCTCAATTAGCAAGAATTCTTACAAGATTCAAATTACAATTGGTTAGTGGTGATGTAAATAGTCGTCAATACTATCAAAATATTAAAAAATGTTTAGTTGCTGGTTTCTTTATGCAAGTCGCCAAACTTGAAAAGAAAAATATTTATTTCACTCTTGGTGATGAACAACAAGTTATCTTCCATCCTTCAACTGGTCTCACTCGTAAACCTGAATGGGTTATCTACAATGAATTTGTATTAACCTCTGAAAATTATATTAGAACTGTTACCGATATCAAATTTGAATGGTTATCTGAAGTGGCTCCAGGTTATATTAAACAAAAATCATTCCCAAAGAAAACAAAAGAAGCAATTCAAAGAAATTTAAAATATACTAAATAATCAAATAAAAAAAATAATAAAAAATAAAATTTTAAAAAAAAATACAAAAATATTAATATATACAATCATTTTTTTTTGATTATTAAATTTTAAACAAAATTTACAAATATTAAAAGAAAAATAAAATAAACTATAATGTTTTTTTTTATAAATTATCAATAATTTTATTTAAAAAATTTATGTATTGGGATAGGGGGATAGCAAATACTAGAGAATACCTAACATGGAGCATATACTTTTTCTTTGGCTGTGATAATTTATAAAGTTTTTTTTTTGGGAGTCACCATAATCGGAAAACAGTTGGATGTGTATTAACAGGCTTCATAAGGAGAGGCACCTATCAATCTGCGGACATAGGAGAGAACCTGGAGGCTTTGGGCGGATCATTATTTTTTATTTTTTAAAAATGTAATTATTTATTATATTATTGTTTTTTATTATTTTTTTTTTTAGTTTTTTTTTATTTTTCTTGTTTTCTTTTTTTTTTTTATTTTATATTTATTTTTTATATATAATTATATAAATAGATACATTATTTAAATTGTTGATTATTTTTATTTTTTTTATGATTTTTTATTGTTTTTGTGAATTTTTTTTTTGGTGATTTTTTTGTTTGATTTTTATTTTTATATTTTTTTTTTTTAATGATAAGCAACATTTATCTAGAGGGTGGTAAAATGTTAGACTTAGGCACCAAGGAGGACGAAAACACAAGACGCAGTTTAGCCATTGATTACAGGAAAAGTTTTATTAATTAATTTATTTTTTTTTATTAATTTTTTTATTTTTTTTATTTTTTTTAACTTTTTTTTTTTCCCTAAGTTCGAGACATGTTCCTTAAAGTTACACTTTTTCAATGATTGAAAAAGTGCAGCTAATATAATAAACACACAATAGACATATTGACTATTGTGAATATAATTACACAAACAATAACTATAAGTTTACTAGTAATAATTATTATTTGAAGAAGTCATGACTGAGACTTATTAATTTTTTTTTTTTTTTTTTTTTATTTATTGTTGAGCCATCTTGATGAATAATGAAATAAAAATATTTTCTTTTTATACCTTTTTTTTGAACAAAGATAATTAAAAAAAAAATTAAAAAAAAATAAATATTAAATTAAATTAAATAATTTTATAATAATATTAAAAAAAAATAATATATACAAATATTTTTTTTCTTTTCCAATTTAGTTTTTTGAGATATGGGGGCTGTAACAACAATACCACAATATTTTTTTTTTTTTTTCATGTAAATCTTTTGAAATTAAAAAACTGCATGTTAATTATCATTAAAACCCCATTATTTTTAAAAAAAAAAAATTGAAAAAAAAAAATAAAATTAATTTTAATTTTAATTTTAATTTTTACAATAATTTAAAAAAATCAAATAACATTTTCCCACTCAATCGTTATAACTGTTTCTTTTAACACACTTCACTATATATTTTTTCTTATAAACAATTACAATAATAATGTGTGGTTAAAATTGAAAATAAATAAATAAAAAAAAAATAAATAAAAAAAATTGGTAATTATAAGGGTAGTTGATATTTTAATATTATTAAAATTATTGTTTTTTTTTGGGGCTATTGGGTTAAGTGGGGTTATTAAAAACTGCTTGGGATTCAATTTGTTGTTCAAAACAATTTTGATAGATAATATTTTTTAACAAGAAAAAAAAAAAATAAAAAATTAAAACAAAAAAAAAAATAATTATTGTTATTATCTATTATTTATAAATTATAATTATAATTATTTTGTGGGGGGTGCGAACAATATTTACCATTAAAAATTTATTTTAATTATTTTATATAAAAATTTCATTTGAATTAAGTTATTAATTTAATTGTAAATTATTTTAAAGAAATAAAATTAATTTTTTTTTTTTTTCCCTAAAAAAAACCCCCCCCCCTTTTTTTTTTTAAAACCAAAACCCCGGATTCCAAATTTTTTTTTTTTCCAAAAAAAAGGGATTCCAAAAAAAAAAAATTTTTTTTTTTTTTTTTTTTTTTTTTTTTTTTTTTTTTTTTTTTTTTTTTTTTCTTTTGTAAATTTGAAATATTGGGTTTGAATATATAATAGAGTTATTATCTGTATCTATTGGTGAATAAAAATTTATAATATTCAAATCAGCTTCAGTATGCCCAAAACAATTATTTTACAATGAGAAAAAAAAAAAAAGATCATATATTTTAGAAAATTAAATAAAATCTGAATTAATCCTCTAACCCTATTCCATTTATATCTAGCCTTTCTAACAACTTTGGGACGCATGTTAAAGGAGTTTTAAATCTAACAGGAAATACTAAC